GTCTAGATTCTTTTTTTTTTGTATGTGGATGTCCAATTGTTCTAGCACTATTTGTTGAAAATATATTTTTCTTTGTTGTATTACCTTTTCTTCTTTGCCAAATGTCAGATGGCTATATTTTTGTGAGTCTGTTTATGACCTTTTTATTTAGATCCACTGATCTATTTGTCTGTTCTTTTGTCAAACCACACTGTCTTGATTACTGTCATTTTATAGTAAGATTTGAAGTTTGGTAGTACCAGTCTTCCAACTTTGCTCTCCTTCAATATTTCTTTATTCAGTTCTTTAATTTCTTTTATCAGAGTTTTGTAGTTTTCCTCATCATATACATATTTTAGTAGATTTATACCTAACATTTTATTTTTGAGTGATAGCATAAATGGCAGAAAAATAATTGACTTTTGCATATTAATGTCATACCCTGCAATATTGCTATAATTACTAAGTATCCAGGATTTTTTGTGTAAAGGCTATCATATGTGAACAAAGACAGTTTCTTTCTTCCTTCCTAATCTGTATTCTTTTTTTTTTTTTTTGAGTCAGAGTCTCACTCTATCACCCAGACTGGAGTGCAATGGCATGCTGATGGCCACCGTAACCTCGACCTGCTGGGCTCGGGTGATCCTTCTGTCTCAGCCTTCCAAGTAGCTGGAACCACAGGCCATTGCAGCCATGCCCAGCTAATTTTTTTGATTTATTGTAGAGACAAGGTCTTGCCATGTTGCTCAGGCTGGTCTCAAACCCCTGAGCTCAGGCAATCCTTTTGTCTCGGCCTCCCAAAATGCTAGGATCACAGGCTTGAGTCACCTTGCCCAGCCTGCATTCTTTTCATTATCTTTTTTTTAACTTTAAAATTTTTTATTTTAAAGATGTGGGGTGCAATTCAGGGTTAGGTATACAAATGTTCATTATGCAGGTCCCCTTGTTGATGAGGTGTGCCATTCCCTCCCCTGGCAGTTTCCTTCAACTGTCAATCTCACTCCCACTCCCTGGCAGATTCCCACCTCTGCCAATTCCTTTCTTATGATAATTGTTCAAGGTCCACTTATAAGTGAGAATATATGGTATCTTTTTATTCTCTTATTGCATTAGTTGGAATTTCTAGTGCAGTGTTAAAAAGGAGTGGTTAGAGAACCACTAGCCTTGTTTATGTTAGCTGTAGGGTTTTGTAGATATTCTTTATCAAATTGAAGAAGATATCCTCTATTCTTAGTTTACTAGAGGTATAGATTTTGTTGAATGTTTTTTCTACATCTATTGGTAAGTTCATGTGAGTTTTTTCTCTGTAGCCTGTTGGTGTGATGGATTACATTAATTGAATTTTGAATGTTGAAACAATGGTGCATATCTGTAATAAATTTCACTTGGACGAGGGTTATAATTATTTCTGTACATTGTTTAATTTGACTTGCCAATATTTTGTAGAGAACTTTTGCATCCATGATCATAAGAGATATTGGTCTATATTGTCTCTTTGCTTGTAATATTTTTGGTTTTGTCATTAAGATAATGCTGATTTCATATAGAATGAAAAAGTATTTCCTCTGCTTCTGTCTTCAAAAGATATTAAAGAGGATTGGTATAATATCTTCTTTAAATGTTGGGTATACTTTACCTCTGAACCCATCGTAGTTTAGGGGCTTAGTATGCTATGTTTTGGAAGGTTCTTGATTATTAATTCAGTTTAATAAATATCGGCCTACTAAGATTATTTTTTGTGAGTTTAGGCAGATTGTGTCTTTCAAGGAATTGTTTCATTTTATCTAGGTTATCAAATTAGTAGGCATAGAGTTTATATATTTTATAATATGTCCATGGCAGCTGTAATGTTGTCTTTTATTTTTTTATTCTGATTTGTGTCCTCTCTTTTTAAAATTTTTTCCTTAGTTAACTTCTCTGTTAGCTGGAGGTTTTCTTATTTTCTTGATCTTTTCAAAGAATCAACTTTTGGTTTTGTTGATTTTCTCTATTGAGTTTCTGTTTTCAACTTTGTTGATTTTGCACTAATTTTTATTATTTTTTTCTTCTACTTACTTTGGATTTGGCTTGTTCTTCGTTTCCTAGTTCCCTAAGGTGGAAGCTGAGGTTTTAAATTTCAGATCTTTCTTCTTTTAATGTCTGCATAAAATGTTATAAATTCACCTCTAACAACTGTTTTCATTGCACCTCACAAACTGAAAAATTGTGTTTTTGTTTTCAGTTAATTCAAAATATTTTCTTTCCTGAGGTTTATTCTTTGACTCATGTGTAATGTAGAAGCTGTGGTTGAATCTCCAAGTATTTTGGCTTTTTCTGGGAATCTTTATGTTATTCATTCTTAGTTCAGTACCATTGAGCAGATATTGCAAGATTTCTATTCTTTGAATTTGTTAAAAGGTGTTTTATGGCTCAAAATGTGGTTTATCTTGGTGGATATTCCATGTAAGCTTGAGAAAAGAATGTGCATTCTCTTGTTGGTGGTGAAGTAGTCTATTAGATCTCGGTATCTATTTTACTGATGCTTTTATTACTGTTAACAATCTCTGTCCTGATTTTCTACATGCCAGATATAACTATTTCTGATAGAAGGGTGTTGAAGTATCCAACTGTAATAGGGGTTTCAATTTTTCCTCCTCACTGTTCTATATTTTTGGCTCATGTATTTTGACATTATGTTTTGCACATACACATTAGGGATTGTCACATCTTTTTAGAGAAGTGGTCTTTTTATTATTATATAATATCCCTCTTTACCACTGATAACTTACCTTGGCCTAAACTCTGTTGTGTCTGCCACTAGTATATTCTTTGTTTTTCTTCGATTAATGTTATAAGTGGCAAAAAGAGGAAATGGTAGTCTTACTTTGAGAAGGAAAAAGTATTTGTGAGTTCTTTTGCATGATCTAACATTTGTATCTCCCCACCTGTTGAGTTGTTTCATCTTGATCTTTCCTATTTGAGATCTTCTTACCTTTGCTCCAGTGTAGGACCATCTCTTCCTTCAACCCTTGATTAAAAGCACTTCCTCTTTCTCTTTTAACATGTTTTTAAAAACCACTGCTTTTTGTCGAATTTTTAAGTCATTGCATAGATCACTGAGCTTTTTTGCGTTGTATTCCATTCATTTCAGTCATTTACTCAGTAGCCAATATTGTAGTGCTTAGTAAGGCTGGCTCTGTGTTCCAGTTTTCTCCTCCACAAGATCTATGATAATTGGCATGCCACGTACATGCTCTAAAGCTGTGGCTTCAGCTGTATGGTACAATGATCATACTGACAGCTATCTTCTAAAGTTATATTGAGAATAGAATAATTTATGTAAATTGCTTAGCTTAGTGCTATGCCTGGTACTTCTTGCTTATTATTATTATCATTATTGTTGTTGCTACAGTTATATTTATACTGTTCAATAATTGTAGGCTCCTTAGAACCCAGGAATCACATCTGTGACTTCTTTGATACACTAGATATAACACAAAAGTGCATCAATAAGTGCTCTTAGAGTCAATGGATAAAAAGTAAAAAATGAATTAGTGAATGCATATTGTAAATTCTGAGTCAACATACTTTTCATAGAACAAGAAACACTTTCCATTTGTAGGTATATGATATTTAGCATTCAGCTACATAGTGTGAAAAATCATTCAGACTTGTGAAACTGGAAATGTTCTTTATAATGTATATTTTGTAAATGTATACAGATTAAGAAGGATTATCTTTAAACAGTAGGATAATCTAAGTAGCTACCCTAAAAAAATTACCACTGGCATTTTAATGAAATGTTATTTTACAACTTTAAAGCTCATAGCAATATAATTAGTAATATGTGTAATCTTTATTACCAATCTTAATCTTTTTTATATGACTGAAAAATTATTTTATGGTAGTACAATTAAAATCATGCTAAAAATGTCAGCATAACAGAATTAAACTAAAGTAACTACTACAATATTGTATCCCAAACCAGCTAATTTAAATGCAAAATACTTTGTGAAGGCTATTTATCTGGGCTAATGCATGTTAAGGGATTTAAGGAGTAGTTTGTGTAACTGAAATAAAAGAAAAAATAAGCACTGTACAGCAATCTTTACTATTGTTTAACATGAGGGAAATATTAAATAGGCTTATATATAGGCCACTTGAGGAAAATGTATTAACAGGCACATCACAGCATAGTAAATATAAAGACGACTGGCAAGCAATACTACATTCATGGGCTTTTAACGGGAAGGCTTGAAATGCTTAACGTTGTTGTTTTACAAATGATAGTATAGCATTAACTATGATAGCTAGACTCAAGATGCACAGAGTATTGGAAGGACGTTTTGCAAAAAGGATTTCAACAGACTGGACAGTTGTTTAACTAGCACATGACAATGACTAGATAATGTCCTAAATGCTTCTTTCTGTCAATTCATTATAATGACTCCTCCAATTTATTGTTATTATAAGGTAAGAAATGAAAGGGTTTAAAAATAAAACTAGACTCGGTATAGAAACTGGAAAAGACAGAAAAGAAAAAAAATCACCTAGAGTTTTACCACCCATAGAGTGTCAAATTTAATATTTAGTACATATATCTTTAGTTTCTGCTCCCTCATAAATAATTTTAAAATTATTATTTTGATTATAGTCCATACAATATTTATATATAGTGTAAAAAAATCCAAGTAGATTATGTTAAGTTAACTTATAATAGTGACCAGCTGTGTTTTCCTTCTGCTATATTTAGCCCCTCCTTTTTTTAGAGTCTTAAAGAATTTCTGCTTATCTAGTTGTTCCTAATGTTTAGGGCTATTAATTTTAAAAACTGGCTAACAATTAAAATACTTTGGAATTTTAAAAATTATTTCTTAAAAACCACAATCCACTGAAATTGTATATAATTTGGTACAGAAGCATAGGCAATAGATTTGAGAGAAATTTGATGTTATACTGTGTTTGTTATCAAAATTTAATTGTTTGAAATGAAAACTCTGATTTAACAGATGATACTTCATTCGCTGACTTTTATTTTGTAGGTCCCAGCACATCTGGAAACTCCTGCAAGGCCTCAACGACAGAAAGCCCAGAGACAGCAAGTAAACCCTTTCATGACCCTTGACCACCAGATCATCAACCAGACTCTTAAACAGTCACAACCCACCGTGCCAAGCAGTGCACTTCTGGTACAGCATGGACACACAACACTGGATAGTGATGCTGGCCTCACAGAAAATCCACTCACCAAATTACTAACTCTTGGGAGAGAAGGTGACAATGTGGAATGGCATGTATGTCTAATGGTTGGTTATAAAAGTAGATCATCAGTTTTGAAAAAAACTTTTAAAAATAAATTGAAGTAAACATTTTTACAGTAAACATGACAATTGCAAATTTATTTAACAAAAGTGTGTGTGCTTAATTAATCTGTAATCATGAACTATATACATATTATTATGCAAATAAATTATAAGAAGTAAATTTTAATACTCATTTCTATTAAGAAGTTACTCGAAGTAGACACTAACAATAATATGTGCTTAGAAGTCTTAATTCTAATTGTAAAGACTTCCTGATAACTTTAGTTGAAATATTTATTATAACCTGGCACAGTGGCTCATCCTGTAATCCCAACACTTTGGGAGCCTGAGGCAAGAGGATTGCCTGAGCCCATGGCTTCAAGACCAGCCTGGGCAACACGGTGAGACCTCGTCTCTACAATAAATCAAAAAATTAGATTATCATGGTGGCACCTGTAGTACCAGCTACTTGGAAGGCTGAAGTGGAAGGGTCACCTGAACCCAGCAAGTCAAGGCTGCGGTGACCGTGAGAGTGCCATTGGACTCCAGCCTGGATGACAGAGTGAGACTCTGACTCAAAAAAAAAAAAAAAAAATCATAATTATGTTATCTTATATGTACATTAAGTAAAACAGAAGTTACTTAAATAGCAGCAAATTTGTGCTGTAGAAATGTTTATTAGAATATCAGGGTGGAATAAGGAAAAAAGAAAAAAAGGAGTAAAACTGATAATTTTATAACACTTAATATTTCATGAAATTATATCTGGATTTTAAAAATCTCTTGATGTTGTGCTCATTCATTTCCATTTTCAACAAATGCTTGCTTATCATGTATGAAATAAGAATTGAGAGGTGATGAGAATGCACTCTAAATAAGGGTTTAGTTTCATTGAGTTTATATTTACTGTGACTTGCTTGCAATGAACCTTCTGAAAATACTGAAGAATGGATAGAACTGGGATAAAAGACTTTCTTTAATATCTCAATATAGAAAAACTACATGAACAATTGAGCTTTCCTTTCCTTCTTATTTATTTATTTATTTTTCATTTGACTTGTTAGATAGAGTCATGATCCAATGATCTTCCGGGTTTAATCTCCCAATCCACATTCTTGGTGATTATTGCTGATTTCGGGTTGATACTTTTTCGTTAATAAGTCTATAACCCCTAGGCACAAAAGAATCCTATTATTTGAATTCCTAATGGTAGAAAAAAATGTTTTAAAAACAGATTTTATGTCAATCTGGAAAACAGAAAAGAATACAGTTGTGAAAGATTGTTAATGAAACATAAAACACAAAGTGGAACTTGTTGAAATCTAAAATGAATGTAAATCTCTTCATGTATATTTATTTAAACTTTTTAATAGTGGATGTCTAAAAAAGCCTTCCAAATAAATGTAGAACTAGGTTCTCTATTCATTACAAAAATATAAAAGTATATGTAGAATGGAAATCATCTGCACAGTAAATATTAGGACTACATACAATACAATTTATCTTACAACCACCTCTTCCCAAAGTTCATTTCTTTTTGTGGGAGATTGATTTCTAAAGGAAAAAAACAAATCCCGCAGAATATGCATATGCCAATCAACTCTAAGTAAAACCTAGAATACAATTTTATTACATGCTTTATGAAATATATTTTCTAAAAGTTGAGAATGGATAAGCAACATATATCAGAATTTTTCTTAGTATATTTTTTATTCCTTAGGCACACATCTTACCATTTCTTTTATACTAAATTTGCATGTATAAAGAAAAGTTGCACGTTCTTAGTGATTCCTTTGGTGGTCTCAATCTAAGAGTCCCATGACTGAGAGAGGTTAACAGTCTCAAGAGGTATAGTGGCCTAGGGTCAAAGTGAACAATGGCTGCAGACAATAAATTTCTATTTTTTTTAACCATTGTACTTTAAAGTACATATACAAAAGTCTCTTCCAACCATCATTAATGTCCATTTAGTCATAGTTTTATTTGATCTGTAATAATTTTAATCTGTGTGCCATCTCTTTGAATTTGAGTCATCGTGTATACATTTGCACATACTGCCATCATTCACAGACTTGCTGTCTTTAATAGCTAGAATGTATCCTGTGCTGTTGCAATTTCCTAGTATTTTTGTTCAGTCCTTCTTGTCTATGTTTCAAAGTGGGAAGTCTGTGGTCTTTGGACACATTATAGTGTAGAACCACCGCCTATTAGCTGTGTACTCTGTCTATAACTTCTCTCACCCACATTTCTAAACCTTGAAGAGTTGATTTCATGATTGCATAAAGTTTCTAGCACAGGGACAGAGTGGGAGCTCAGGAGGTGGTGGATGTTGCCATCCTCTGGTATTTATTACTCCGAAGCCTTGTCCACCTATGACATCAGGGAGCATTTTGTCAAATCAGAAAAAAAAAACCCAAAAACCAAAAAAACAAATAAACCTAAAAAAACATTAACAAAACTTAGAAATCATAGATGCCACACAATAAGTTTGTGGGAACATTTTTTAGATTCAGGGTTTGATGATTAGAATTAAGAATAACTTGAAGATGAAATATCTCTGAGACAAATATACATAAAATAAAAATAAGTATTTTATAATATGGGTCTTTCCAAGATAAAATTTAAATTTATACACATAGCATGTAGGACCCTTCTGCACTTCACCCTTGCAATTGACCCAGACTTATCATTTAGCATCCACGTGGAGCTCTGTGTTGCAGTCCTATCAGTTCACTAATAGTTCTTGTGGTGGCTGAATTCTCCTCCCTATATTCTTTCTTTACCATCTGCTAATTCAATCTCCAACTTTTGTTTGGATAATTATTTCAGAATTTATTTTAGTTTACTTCTTTAAGGTGCTTTCTTTGGTAACTCTCTGTCTGGGCTTGATGTCTATCTTCTGAGTTTTCAAAGCAACACCTATATCACATAAATAACCATTACCCCTATATTGCATTTTCACAGAACATGCTACATTTTAATTGCTCATTTTCTTGTTTTTTATTTTCTATTCTGTTACTTCCTTGATGAAGATACCATACCTTATTTATATTTTTATTTCTAGCTTTTAAGATAATTTTCTGGCAAAAAAAAATTAGTGCATACTTTCAGCAAGTTTAAAAGTCAATGAATAATAAGTATCATTCTGTTCAATAATATTTAGTTAATTCCTCTTATTGGTGCAGTGATACTTTAAGCAACACGGAGGACACACTAACAATTAGAAAATTTTATCTAAGCTCAAAGATCTTGCTATCTAGTATGTAAAATAGAGCATTAGCACAATGTGAGAAGAAACATAAAATAAGTGAAATCAAAATACTCTAGAAAACCAGAAAGAAGAGAAATTTTTTCAATTTGAAGTCTCAGTGTATTCCAGACGAGGCAATAGTTGAGCTAGGCATTGAGCATGCACATCAATAACAAAGATGTCTTTTTAGAGTAGAAAATGTTATAAGATAGGCACAGAGTAGATAAGCATGAGTGTGTTTAAAGGTGATACAGTTTGATGCAAACAAGGGATTAAAGTTGGAAAAGATAATTGGAGTGGGGCTGAAGGCCTTATATACAGACTTGAGAATTTAGACTATGGTCCCAAGACAACAGGGGACTGTATCAGTTAGGTCTGCATTAGGAACATGCAAAAGAAACTCAACTCCAGTGATTTAACCAAAAGAAAATTTATTTTTCTCCCATAATATTTTTCTCTCATAATAATCTCATATTGTAGATTATTAACAACATAGAATATTAACAGCAAAAATAAAAATGAGTGTTCATTTATTCCTTATTTTTTTGTTAGGGTTTTAAAAAAATATTTTATCTGGATTAATTTATTTAATTCTTGAAAAACACAATAGCTCATTACTATTATCTCTATTTTTAAAATGGGACAACTTATACAAAAGTAAACCAAAGTAAACCAGAGATACATAGTCTAAGGCTGGTGTAGTTCTCTGTGATGTCAACATAAATCAAGACTCTTCCTCTGGTTTTGTCTGCACCATGTAGCTTGTATCCAAATGGACACCTCATGATCACAAGATGGCTGCTCCACCTCTCCTCTTGTCCTCAAACCAGATGGAAAGAAGAGAGAGAAACAAAGAGGAAACCTATATGAGGAGAAAAAAAAAAAAACTTTTGCAGAAATACATAATAGACTTATTTAGGCACATGACTTAGTCAAAACTGTGTCACATGGCCATGTTTAGATGATATAAAGCCGAGAAAAGTGTATTTTTTTCTCTAAGCATATTTTCCACCAAAAAAAAATTTAATGCTCGTTAGCAACTAAGTAGCAGAAAATGGGAATTTACTATGCAGCTCTCAGTGGGTCTACTAAAGGAATAAGAATAGTTTCTGAGTATAAAGTATCATAATCAAGGCAATGCTTCAGAGCCATTGAAATGGAATAGTTTTAAGGCTAAGAAGGTTCATGTTAGGTGAACAGATGAGAGAATATTACAATGAAATTTAGTTATAACCTAAATTAGGACTATTAGTGGTAGACAGAATAAACAAAATAAACAGAGGGAGTAATGTTGATGGTTCTCAGTGCCATTTTGTATATGTAAAGTGAAGGGAAAAGACGAGTTTGGTTCAATTTTGAGATTTTCGAGACCTCACTGGATGAATAATGTGAGTTAAGACGCCACTGTTAACAGAATTATGGGGGTCAAAAGAGTGTAGAGATTGGCCTAAAAGCCAAGGGGTTTAACTTACGGGATAACCAAGAGGAACTCAGAGGACAATAGAAAGTAAAAGATTGTTTCTCAGAAAAAAAGCTTGGAACTTTAAATAAGATTCCATCTATTTCTTTATTCAGAGGATCTGTTATTGCCACATGCTCAGGGAACCAACTGCACATTATGTATGGTCTGTACCATCTAGGAGCTTCAGGTGAAAGGAAAAGAAAAAAACAACAAGTTAACAGCAACATCAATAAGTAGTTGTAACGATATGTAGAAAGTTCTGTGGTATAGACAGGAACA